CCGCCGGCCTGGTCGCGCTCGGGGCCCGAGCTGGGGACCATTCTGGGACGCATGCTGGCCAGTCCCGTCCCCTTGGCCTCCTCTGTCCCCAGCGTGGCGTCCCCCCGCCCCTGCTGCCTGTCCTGACGCGGAGCCAGTCCTAAAAAGCCACCCGGCTCTGAGCCCAGAGCACAGCGACGGAGCCCTGGCCGTGGCCGCCGGCCGCCCTCCCGAGAGCAGGCTGCCCTGCCTCTCAGCTGTCGCCACGGCGAGCAGCCCGCGCCTCCCGCCGCTCGGCTCCTGGAAGGGACGCCAGGCGCTGACGAGGCTCTGCCTCTAGAATAACAAGCGGTGACTCTCGGAAGGAGAGACATCGGCGCAGCGGGCCCGTCTGCCCCGCTATCTTCAGGGTCTGCACGGGCTGGGCCGCTGGGCGACGCCAGGCAGGGCCTCCGGCAGGGCCATGCCCCGCTCAGGCGATCTGTCCCCGGCTTGTTGTCGCTGCTCAGACACACTGACAACCAGGGGCAACAACCTGGAGCGAGGAACCGGGCGTCCTGGCTGCCCCGGCGCGAGCCTGCCCGCGAGGATGATCGAGAAGGAGAAGGAAACCGCCTCTGCTTGGCGTCCGGGCCCTGAGCTGAGCGAGGGGCGCGCCTCATGCTGCGCACGCGCCTGCTTGTGCTCGGGGAGGGCGTCCCTTTCTCACTCGTGCAGCAAGAAGTGGGGCCGCGGAGCCCCGTGCGCTTCGGGGGGAGGAGCCCCCCAGCCAACCCGCGCCTTTTGCCCTCCAGGAGACGCCGGGGAGCGGGGCGAGGCCCCCACGAGCACAGCCGCCCACGCCCCGGCACTGGGTCAGCCGCAGCGAGGCCTGGCTCCCGCCAGCCGCCCGCCCTGCTGCGTGTGGGCCCGCAGCCCTGGGGACGCGACGGCCTCGGGGACCCTGACCCGTCTGCGCGTACCTGCCTGCCCCGTCCGGAGCAGCTTCCCGCGCGAGCTCCAGACCCGCCTACCCTGTGGTCTGAGGGTTTCTCCCTCGCGGAGAAACCAGGACTCAGGCAGGACAGTGCCGCCCGCCTCCGGAAGCGCCACACGGGGCCACCGGGACGGGCTCCGGCGAGAGGGCAGGGGCGGCTGCAGGGCTGGGTGGCTGCGTTCACGTGCAGGTCACCTTCCGGACAGGTCCTGGCAGACCGTCAACCCTCATTGTTCCTGTGTTTGCCTCTGTTTGGTTTCTAATGGCCGTTCTGAAATTGTTACGACAGTGGACCTCTTCGTGTTGATTTTCAGAGAATCCTCGTTTAAAAGAAAAAAAAAAAGTCTAGGAAAGTTGCATGTACCCCAAACTAAAGTGATCTGTTATTTCCAAATTTGTTATTTGTAAATGCAGGGTTTTTTCCTCCTTCCTAAGCTTTTCTCAAGGGGCTGCCTCGAGCCAGATCTTTCCAGCATGTGGGATGCAGTGCAGTTGTTCTCTTAACATTCTTCTTTAATTATGAAGTTGAAATAAACACCGGCGGACGCCAGACCCAATGGTCGGCGGGGACAAAAGTGCACGGCCGTGGGGAGCAGCGTCCCCCGCGGGGACCGCTCAGCGCACGGAAATAAAAATGACGGATGGGCCCTGTCATCACCCTTTGAGGGAGGACAGGCAGAGAGAGGCTTCATTCTGGCAGTTTCCGTGTTTACGATAAAGGGAAGTGTTTTGTAACTTCTTTGAAAAGCTCCTAGGAATCTTGGCCTCCCCTCCAGCCCACGGATGGTGCGGAGCGGGCGTGGGCCCTGAAGACCCCTTGCCGGCCGCCCTGGAGGGGGCTGCCTGGCCGGAGGGGGACAGGGCAGGCCCTGGGGGGACCTGGAGGCCCCGGTGTGCAGGCAGCGCCCCCACCCCTGCCCCGCCAGGTCCTGTCCGGCGCATCGCCGGGGCGCCCCGGCTCCGTCCGCAGCCCTGGCCGTGAGTCCTCTGCTGGCAGAGGGTCACTGGCCTCCCCCGGGCCCCTCCCTTCGGCACTGGAGCCCCACTCGCCCCCTTCGGCAGCCCCCGCCGGCTGACGGCTGTTACAGGTGGACGGTGTCCTCCACACCCCAGGGCGGAGCCTCCGCCTCCCAGGCGGCTGCGGGTGGCGGCAGGGTCTTTGCAGAGGTGACCACGGTGAACAGGGCCACCCGGAAGGGCCCCAACCTGATGTGACTGGGCTCTTAGACGAAGAGGCCGGCGGCGAGGACGCAGACTCACAGAGGGAGGCCGCCGCGTGGGGACACCAGGAGCGCAGCCCGGGGGGCACCGGCCGGAGCCGGATTCGCAAGCTCTGCCGCCGGGAGGAGGGGCCTGGCCACGGTCACGGGGACGCGGTGGCGCCAGGCCTGCCGCCCGCGGCCTTCCCGCCGCTGTGCCACCGCTCGCAGGCGACCGGCCCGCTCCTTCACGGGCAGCCAGCCTTTCACAGCGGTGACGTGCATGCGCCGCGCAATTAACCACCTGAACCGCTGCCGGCGGACGGCTCGGTGGCACTGGCACGGTCACAGCGCTGTGAGACCGACACCTCGCTCGAGCTCCGGACCTTTCCGCACTGAGAAAGGAAATCTTGCCCCACGGAGCGGTCACTCCCCGTTTCCCCTCCCCCAGCCTTTGCGGGGCTGAGTCACATTCCACCGCACGAGTCCGTGGCTTTGTGGGGCTCTGTCCACCGGCAGACGGGCAGGCAAGCTGTTTCCACGCTCCGGCGGCTCCGGTGGCGGTGCTGCGGCCGCGCGCGTGCCTCGTCCTTGGAGTGCGGGCCCGGGAGCGGCGCCCCAGGCGAGCGAGGCCGAGCTCACGACACGGGGCCGAGGCGACCGCCGCCCGCAGTGTGAGCTCAGCGAAGGTCGTCGGATGCACGTGCAGATCGATCGAGGGTGCTTCATCGCATGGGCATCGGAACAGTGTGACACCCTTTTAGGAACAGTGACCCCGTCCCCTGGGCTGCCGAATTTTACTCAACAACTGTGGAACTGCTACAGGCCGTTGCACTCGTGTAAACGCTTCAGCCGCTGCCTTTGTTCACGAAGCTTGTATTCCGACCTGGTTCTCCGTGGTTTCTTTAGGGCAAGTTCCCAGGAATAGGCCACGTGGCTCCCGCTGCCCTTCACGCACCTTCGCTCCACCAGGAAAGGCTCGGGGTTGCGCACGGCGTGAAGGTCAATGCGCTGGTCAGGCCGCAGCCAGGACCCACCGTGGGCTGAAAACGGAGGCCTTCTGGAAAGGCCCGGAAACAGAGTGCAGCTTGGTCCGCTTGGGAGGCATCTAAGAAATACAGTTGTTGTGAAAACCGTAAAAATAAAAAAGGGGAACGGAGCTTGTTTCCTGATTTCCTGGAAGAGCTGCCTTCTGAGGTCATAAGACGGGATGACCCAGCGCGGTGCCTAAAGTAAACAAAGGAGCTGGGACAGTGCAGGCGGAGGAAAAACAGGACCTGTCCCCTCTGTGACCCCGATGCCACTGCATGTGAGGTCTTTGCTTGTCCCGGAAGGAACGGTCTCAGGTGCTGCAGGGCAATTAATACCAACCCCCTCCCCCGCCGCCCCCCGAGAGGACACTCCAGGATTCGGGGGGAGGGGGTGGTGTCTGGGGGACAGAATAGCTCAGGGGTGCGTCAAACTCAGCAGAAGCGTCCGTGGACGAGCCCACCTCAGGTGGCCGCCTGGGCAGCGTGGGGTCCTCCCTGCCCCGCTGTGCCCTCCGTGGGCTGGGGACAGTTGGGGCCAGGGCCACTGTGTTCTGTCCTGCGGACAGAGGCCACGCAGGACGACGGCGGCGCTGGGGTCGCGCAGCCGCCTTTCCTGACGCCCGTGCGGTGGGGCCAGCCCGCTCCGCAGCAGCGCCCCCGCCGGGTGTTGCCTGCGAGCGAGCGTCGGGGACACGACTGTGACCGACGAGCCCGCGCCCCGCGCGCCCCCTGCCGGCCCGGACGCGCGCATGCCCTGCGGCCGTCCTCAGACAAAGGGCTTTAGCCCCGGGGCCGCGTCTGAAAATTCACAGGGAAACGCCGAGCGGTGCGCTGCCATTTCGGGTTTCGTCTCGTCCCCCGCAGCCCGGCGCGGCGGAAACGCGGAGAGACAGAAAGGCACGCCCACGCCCTGGAGGGACAGCGGGGCGGACGCGGCCAGGGCGGCGCGGGGCTCCCCGGAGCCCGGGCAGCGCGGCCCCCGGCCGCCACGCGCCCCGCCGTTCGGCGCCCGGCGGCAGTAAGACGGGCGGCCACCAGGGGGCGGCGCTGCCCGCGCTCCCGCCGCACTGCGCACGCGCCTAGGGCGCGGCCACCCGCTCCGCGGGGCTGTCCCCTCCAGACTGAGGGCCAAGTGCGGAAGAAGGGCCCCGCCCACGGACGGTGCGCCGGGCGGAGCCGCAGGGCCACGCGGAGGACACAGGTGTGGCGTGTCCACCTGGAAAGAAATTCTGTAAAACCCAAATGAGGGACACCTGCGAAGAGCCGTGGCTGCCTCGTGCGCCAGGTCCGCATCCCTGAGTGTCCTGCCACGTAGGTGGAAGCGGGCCACCTGCTGTCACCGCCGCCGAGCCCCTGCAGGCAGCTAAGGTCGCCTCACTCGCTGTTGCCCTCACTGTAGGAGCTGCCACTGCGCTCACGAGGACAAGCCCGCTCCCAGGCTCTGCCGAGGCTGAGTGGCTGTCGCCTGTGCCCTGGGCGCCTGCGCGGGCGTGTTCGGGCCCAGGTGGCAGGAGGCCCGCGCTCCCCAGGCCCGCGGGGAGGTGCCGGCGACAGCCGCTTGGGCTGAACCGCAGCTCACGACGGTGCCGGCAGGGACCTGCCCCACGGGTGGCAGCCGACCAGCGTCTGCTTCGCCGTCCTCGTCGGCACCCTCTTGCCGGGATCCAGGTCCCCTGACGTGGTCTGAGACAGAGAGGGCGTCCCAGACAGACGCACGGATGCACGAACACGCGCTCCCGCTCACGCAACACGCGCATGCGCACAGCCTCAGGGCCTTACACCCAACACCAGCAGCAGACGCCTCCGTGAGGGTGACCAAGGTTAATATTTTATTATACTCTGAATAGAGACAATATTTTGAGAGCAGAGAAAATGACTATACAAAGGGTTTATAGAACATTCATTTACATACTGGATATGTTCTTTACAATATAAGAAAAGTAAAAATGCCCGCTAGTAGTTAAGGCAGAGGTGGCGGCCGGGTGCAGCGGATGCCAGGGCACACGGGGAGGCCCTTACCCGGGCGTGACTCGGCTGGGTTACGGGTGAGCACTGGCGGGACACGCACCGGTCTGGCGAGGGGCCCGGCGCCCTGGCTGGGGGCGCCCGGAGAGGAGTCTGGGGAGGCGTCGGCTGCTGCGCGGAGCCTAGGCCAGCGGCGGGGCTCGCCCACGGCCCGGCGCCAAGGTCATGCGCGCGCCACCCCGTTTCATGCACATGTAACACGCAAAGGCCCTGTCGTACCAGCTGGTCGGAAACCAGGGGCTGGCTGCCTCGGGAGCCACCTGCCTGGAGCAGCCTCTGGGGCCCTCGACCACCGCGAAGACAGGCCACTGGCCCGTCAGTTTGAAAAGCAAGGTGCCTGGCTTCTCGGCATCCAGGATGTGACTGCGCGGGGCACCCAGGTCTCCCAGATCCCTGGGGTCGTGCGTCTCAGCCACACGCCACTCGCTCTCTGCCCGAGACAAGGGGCCTGGCCTGCAGTCCTTGGGTTGACTTGGGCGTGAGCCATCGCAAGACGTGGTGTCTCCCGGGGACAGTACCAACCCCAGTCCCCTCCCCACTTCCCGCAGCGACAGCCACATGCCTCCGCAGGGCTGGGACCTGGGCAGGGGAGGCACCAGCCGTGTGACGGACGAGGCCCGCCTTGCGGGACGAGGTGGGCATTTGGCACAGAAATGAGGCACTTGTGGTGGGTGCTAAGCGGTGGGCCCACCGCCCTTCAGGGTCCCAGCTCCTCGTCCCGCGCCCCCAATCCACTTAACACGGAGCCCCCGAAGCCCGCCCCGACCCCTGCCTGCGGCCCGCACTGCTGACTCCGGGTGGCAGGGGCCGGTGCTGTGTCCACAGCAGAGAACAGGACCCCCACGCCGTGACCACAGGTGGGCCAGGTGAGGGGTCAGCCCCTTGCCACGCCGGGCCGGCGTGCATGGCGTGCACATGTGGCTGCGGCGCGGTGGGAGGTCCCCAACCCCCCCGTAAGGCTGAGACGCCCTCTGCCCAGCTCAGGGAGCCGGAAGCGCACGGGACGCCCAGGAGCCTGCGGGTAGGGACGTGACCGACCAGAGGGAGCTGCCGGAGCGCAGCGTGTTCCACCCTCCCAGAACCTTCCGCCCAGAAAGGATGTCACCGCAGCCTGGCAAGGACACCGTGAGGGTCACCGCACGTGGGAGCCAGTCCGCAGTGTCGCCCTCTGTCCCGATGCCTCTGATACGCCGGGCGCAGGGGCTGCCGCAGGGACACCCGGGCGTGGCCGGCAGCGAGGAGCGTGGCTGCAAACGACTCGGCAAAGAAACCGAGTTACACGGAAGTGGCACGTCACTTCCGCCTTCGCCCTTCCTCCCCGCAGCCGGCGCGTCTTCCGACCCGACGTGACTGGAGGCTGGGGCTGCCACCAGGCCTGGGGGTGACACCCTCGTCCCCACAGCCTGTCCTGCTGTCCCCTGGTCCACGCCGCGCTCTGCAGGGACCTTCGGAGACCCTCGTCACATGGGTGTTCCTGTCCTGGGAAGGCGGTGGCCTGCGGGGGGCCCGCCACAGTGTGGCCGTGCACTGTGGTCACGGCTGTGGCAGAGGGGGCTGGGTGGCCCCGGACGCCAGCGTGGGAGGTGCAGAGGACCCACATTTCCTCACACGGCCTGGCTGTGGCGCTGGGTGGGTGGCCGGTGCCCACTTCAGCCCAGGAAGGGCCGGGCTGCCGACGGACGTGCGGGCGCTGCCCGTTAGGAAGAGGCGTGGGGGGGGTGCGGAGGGTGGCTCGGGAAGCTGGAGGAGGCAGCAGGTCCAGGTTGCCGCAGGGTCGCCGTAGGGTCGCCGCGGGGCCGCCCAGCCCCTCTGGCACCTTCCCCCGCGGGCGGGGGGCTCAGACCTTCTTAGGGGAGCCGATCATGACCTTCGACACGAAGTTGACGACGGCGCTGGCGGGCTGCTCGGGGTCGTGCTCCGCAAACAGGTGGCACATGTTGTCCGTGGCGCTGCCCTGCTTCCGAGCGACGAACCCGAAGACTCTGCAACAAGAGGCAGGGTGAGGGCGCACAGCACGGCCGGCGAGGCCGAGAGGGCACAGGCCTCTGCTTCCTCCCACCACCTGCCCACTCCCCACCAGGGCCCTGCGCCCCTGCGCCGCCTCACACCCCACTTCACAGGCGGGGCCCCGGGCCGCAGCGCCTCCCACGCCAGGAGTGTCCTGCCGGCGCTGGCTGGGCGGACCCTGAGCCGCTCCCCACGTCCTCGGGGAGGCGGCCCCCGCCGATGCCGACCCCGCCCACGGGCCGGGCCCCCTCAGGGCTCGTGCCCGCACCACGCTCCCCGCGCTGAGGCGGCGGGCGCGGGGATGCCTCGGGAGAACGAGCCGCGGCCCGAGCCGTGTCCCGGAGCCTGGGCCCAGCACAACGACGGCCATTGTCCACATCCCAGCCCTGGCCGAGGCCCCCGTCTCCGCCTCAGAGACGTGAAGGGGCTTTTTGTTGGAGTTCAGCGGCGCCCACACGGTGGGAGGGGGCGGCCGGGACTCTCGGGTCACCGACGGGGTCGCGCGTTCCATGCAGCTGGAGCCCGGGGCTGGGGGGCCTCGGAGCCCTTTGTCAGAGCCCGAGACCAAGGGGACCGTGAAGCCGGGGCCCCGGGAAAAGACGCGGCGACCGGGCCTGACTGGGGCCGGCTTTCAGCGACGGGGGTCATCTGCCCACGAGGGGGTGCGCGGCCCCGAGGGAGGTATCGGGTCCCTCTGCACCTGCTGACCCCCGGGCGCCCCCCAGCCCCCGCCCGGCCCCTGCTGGGCGCACCCTCCCCCAGACGCACACCCAGGCCCTGGGGCGACGCTGACTCATTTCCTCCCGAGGACCCTCTTGGGAGCGGCCGGGCAGCTCACCTCGCGCCCGCGCCGTCCGCAGTCCACCTGGCGGGTTCGGGAGAACGGAAAGCGGCGTTAGTTTCCCGAGGGGCTGGACGGGCGTGGCCCCCCCCCCCATAGGCCCACCGTCCTCACTTCCTGCCCTGCGGGTCCAGCGCGCAGAAGATGACGCTGCTCACGGGGTAGTGCCTCCGGAAGAAGAGCCTGTGGGGACACAGGGGTGACGGTGGCACGCGGGGCAGGCCCCACGAGGACCTGGGGCCGGGGCCACTGCTGCTTTACGGAGGCCTGGAGGCAGGCCGAGTGCGCTCGCACACCGGGGGGGCAGGGGCCTGAGGCCGCACACCCAGGGCCGGTGCCCGCGGGGAGCCGCCGCCCCCCGCCCTGCCCCCCGCCCCGCGCCGCCGCACTCACTTCCTCTGATTGTCTGTCAGGGTGATGCCCTGGGCCGACACCTTGAAGTGCACAACCGTCGACAGGGGCGGAGGCTGCTGGGCCAGGGTGAGGCTCAGGGCCTTCTGCACGGCCTGGTGGCCCGTGAGGGACTCCATCTCCACGGAGCTCAGGTACCACACGTTGCAGGCTGCAGGGCAGGGAGCAAGGGTCGGCGTGTCTGCGGGACGCGCAGCGGCCGCTGGCGGTGCCCTGTGGTGAGAGGCGCCGGGCCGGCGGCCCCTGCTGGGCACATCGAGGGCCAGCGCCCTTCCCCCCTGATTCCGAGGGTGGAGAGTGAGGGACCCAGGTCGATGCAGAGAAGGCGCATGACTCTGCGGCCTCGGGGAGGCTCCCGCGGCCCCCTCTGTGCCCGGTGTCCCCGTGGGCGGCTGGGGCACTTCCGCAGCATCACTGGTCTGAGTGGGACAAGAGCTCGTCCCCAAACCACGGCCCTGCCAGGAGCTCTGAGTGAGGTGGGTGCCCAGGAGCAGCTGTGACAGGGGACTGGCTGGCTGCCCAGGGCTCGTGCCCGTAGAGCCGACAACGCAGGTGCTTTCATGCTGCACCAGGGCGGCGCTCGGCGTAACGCCTGGGCCTCGGTTATCGGATCAGAAGAGCCACCAGCACCCGGCAGGTAAGCCAGCGGTATCGCTTCTGAGGGGGCAGAGGACACACCCGGGGCGCGGAGGCGAAGACGTCGGCCATGTCGCGTTACCACGGGAAACACCGGCAACGAGCTCTGCGCTCCCCGGGGAGAAGGGCTAACCCCCCGCCCCCACGGAGCACCAAGGGAGGCACAGCCAGCAGTCGCCATGGAAACCGTGGCCGTGTGGGAACCACGCGTGGTTAATGGGAAGCGCAGGACGAAGGCCGTCTCTGTGCGGCGACGCGGCCGGGGAATGAGGAGCGTGTGCGCGCGGGTGGGCGCTGGAAGGCCCCCCGGACACCCGAGGCGGCCTGGCGCGGTGGGCGGACGCTCTGCGTCTGATTCCACCGCGGGCGCTGCGATGCTCGCAGGCGGTTACAGGAGGAGAAAGGAAATCCTGGTCTAACAACAAGGGGACCCCACAAAGGCGGCAGCACTTGAATCGGGTGCACACGGGCAGCCACCAGCGGCCGGGCCCGGATCTGGCTTCCCGGTCGCGTCCCCGCAGCCTGTGCTAAGGAGCGGGGTCTGCATCTGGGGGCCCCTCCCCATGAGCAGAACAGAGGGGCGCCGCCCCAGCGAGGCTGGACAGCCCGCGCCCGGCCCGTCGGCAGCGCACAGCGGGGCCCCGACCCCCGGGGAGGACGCCTGTCCGGGGGCCGAGCGCGATGCCCCGGCAGCAGCAGGCCGACCCTGCCACAGCCCCCGCGCGGGGCGCTCTGTGCGGACCAAGCGGTCTGACCACAGGCAGGACGGCCCCCACGCCCCCACCAGCCTCTGGGAACGCGGGGCCCTAAGGCAACAACGCAGGATTCAGAGAAAGAAAACAGCTCAGGGAGCCTCCAAACAGGCCCGAGGTCCTGAGACGCTGGAGACGAGCTCAGGGACCGACCGACCGCAGGGCGCCGGGCCACAGGACGGGCCGCTACTCAGCCGCTGACGACAGGCCCTGCAGTGAGTTCCAAAACCACGGGTGACTCGTCATGCTGATGAGGGGGGTCCGGCGGGGCCCCATGCGGGCAATGGGCCGTGACTCAGTCAGTCTCCCCTTCTTTCCTCCATCATCCTTTTTTAGCCTAAAGAACACGTATTACTTCATATGGAAAACACACTCCACAACACACTGAGGTGAAACCGCAGCCCTGAGACGCGGGAAGCCTGCCAGCAGTCTGGCAGAATCGCCACCCTCCAGGGCCCGCGGCTGCCGACGCGACAAGGGCAGCTCGGGGGTCGCAACAAACTCGCACTTGGAGCAAACCAACGGGGCTGCACCCAGGAGCTGGGGAGGCTCGAGGCGCGCGCTCCGCCCCACCCGTACTCCCGACTCGGGCCCGGCCCCGCCGTGAGCAAAGTGCACGACGGGACCCGGAGGGGCCAGGGCACGGCCAGGGGCTGAGGCTCTGGAGTGAATTAGGACAACGAAGGAAATTTAGTTTGAGAAAAACCCCACGCGACCTCCTGAAGTGACCCAAGAGCTTGGACCCCCGGCTGCCAAGCCAGGGTCACTGTGCGCCTGTCCGGCCGCCCTCTCGAGCTCCCAGGAGACGGCTGGGGCGCCTCCCGGGAGCGGCCCCGTGATCCGCCCCGTTTCTGAGTCCTGATTCGCTGGCTCGGCTTGTCAGCTGTGAAGGCACGTGGACAGAAACGCAGGCCTCCAGACGTGCTTAGAGCCGAGAGCGCTCTGGGGCACGAGAACGGAGCCTAGTCCTGGTCCAGCTGCGCCCCGCCGCGAGCGCCCGGCCAGGCGATTAGCTCGGACCCCAGGTTCTGCCTGAAGTCTTGTGCCTTGAAAGGCCCCCCTCGAGAAAAACAAAACCTCTGCAGCTGTTAACATGTGCTGTGTTCATCGCTCAAAAAGGTGGTAAAGCAACCTCAGAACGGTGAGCCTTGATCGCCCATCCGACAAAGGGCTGTTATCCGAAACACACACAGAGCTCTTAAAACTTAACAGTAAGGAACCCCACCCAATGTTTTAAAAAAATGGACCGAAGACCTTAGCAGACACCTCACCAAAGAAGATACACAGACGGCAAACGAGCCCATGAAACGATGCTCAACACCATGCCATCGGGAAAACGCAAATGCCAACAAGGAGATGCCGCGAGGCACACACATCGGAGGGGCCAAAGCCCGAAGCCCTGGCCACGCCGGACGCTGGGGCCCACGGAGCAGCAGGGCCCTCCCCCGCGGCTGGTCGGGTGTGGGCGGCGCCGCCACCTGGACGGCGGTCTGGCGGTTTCTCACAGAGCTGAACCGGCTTTCACCCTGAGACCCCGCAGCCGCGCTCCTTGGTATTGACCCAAAGGAGCCGACAACTGACGTCCGCAGGAGGCCTGCACAGGGGCGTTCACAGCGGCTTCAGCCACGATCGCGAGAGCGTGGACACCGAGACACCCTTCCACAGGGGAGTGGTCGCCCCACTGCGGGCCACCCACGCGGCAGCTGTCACTCAGCGCCAGGACGAAACGGGCCGTGGAGGAGCCCTGGGTGCGTGTGGCTCAGTGAGAGACGTCGCCCTGAAAGCCACACACGGCAGGGTTCCAAGCGTGCCGCTCTGGGAAGGCCACGCAGTGGGGCCGGCGGAGAGGTCGGCACGCGCCAGGGCTGAGGGAGGGACGGGGAGGCAGCGCGGAGCCGCCGCCGCCGACCCCGCAGCGGGGTGAGCGTCACGGCACCTCCGTCCCAACCCCTCGCGTGCACGCCACGTTCAGCTGTGACGCTGTGACAAATGTCCCGCCAGGGGGGCGCGGACGGGAGGAGGCTGCGCAGCTGGGGGCAGGAGGCAGAGGGGAACTCAGCGATTTCTGCTCAGTTTCGCTGTGACTCTAAAACTGCTCTAAAAAAAATAAAGACTATTAGTAGAAAATAAGTGCCCCGGAGAGCCGGCATGTGGGCGGGGGTCACAGCGGTGGCCCGTTCAGAGGACACATGGAGTCACTCTCCTGACCACTTACACCGACGTTGCAAGGGGAGGTCGCCCCGTGCTGTCTCACTCTGTCCCCCCCACAACGGGACACTGGACTCGACGTTTACCCCGCTGCACTCGGTCTGAGTCAGGGGCCATCTCCTGCCCAGGCAGCTGCCCTCCCACCAGCCGCGTGCGAAAGGAACCTCCCAACACACAGAAGGCAGGAAGCCCCGAGCCTGGGGTGAGGCGGGCCGGAGCCCCGCCCCGCTGCTGTGCGCGGCCACGGCGGGGGCCGGAGCCGGGACTGACCTGCCCCCTGCTTCAGCAGCTCCGCCGCGGAGTTGGCCGCTGTTTGGGGAGAACTTTCTGCTATTTCCTCCAGTGGATCTGCCGAAAGGGACAAGAAAACGCGAAACTGAGTCAGGCTCGCCGGAGAGAATCTTCCCGACGTGAGGCTCTCGTGACTGAATTCCTAGTCGGCGACATGCTTTGCAGCCGGGAGTTTCTCTCAGCAGCAAGGGCCCAGCCCCTGTCTGAGCCACAGCTGGGAGCACGCGGTCCAGCCAACGTTGGTCGTCCGGGCCGCGGCATCGACTTACGTGAGTTTAACTGTTACGAAAGGTGAACGATACTGACCCGGACTTCGGGCGACTCGCCCTCTGAGGCACCGAAAGAGAACGTGACCCAGGGAATGGGGACGTGGGCCCTGTCACCCTGTCCTGCCATGCTGCGGGTCTGTTTCTCACTTTTTATTGCGGACCTTTTCAAACAACCGTCAAGGTGGAGAGGAAGTGCACCGGCACTGCAGGTCAGCAGCGCCGCGTTCCACCGACTCCAGACCCCGAGGCCTCGTGGTCGGCACCTCACCTGCTCGGGCTACAGGACCCCCCGCAAAGCCGGGGGCGGGGCGGCGGGCCCGAGGACGAGGGGACGCAAGGCCACCTCCCTGGTCCTTGACTCGGGCTGACTCGGCAGCCATCTTCAGGGCTCGCCCAGGGGGTACCAGGCAGGGAGCACCTCCGGCCCGGCCCCTCCCACCGGGCCTTTCCGTGCCCGGCCCCAGCGGGCCTGGTGCGCGGCGGGCGAAGCCCCTCCGAGAGCCCCGGGGCCCGGGGACTCGCCACGTACCTCTGTCGGGGATGAGCAGTTTGCAGGGCAAGGCCAAGGGCGTGGTGGAGTGCTGGCACACCAGGGCCGTCAGGCTCCCTGCGGGGCGCAAGCGCAGGCGGGGCGGTGAGCAGCACCCTGCCGACGGGCCTCTGGGGCCACACGGGCCGCAGCAGAGCCCCGGTCCTCCCGGCAGCGAGCAGGCTGCACCGGTGAGGGACCCCGAGCAGGGCTCCAGCGAAGCAGGGCCGGGTCGGGGAGCGGGGCTGTGGCGGTTCTTGGCAGACGCGCGTCATCACCGCTTTGTGAGACTGAACCACAACCTGTGGCTCCGATGGCGACACCCTCCGTGCCGGCCCTGGAGGGGCCCCGGGGGCTCGGAGACAGCGCGCCGGGCCCTGTCTGGAGCCGTTCCCGCACCGGGAGGGGGCTACGTGCCGCGCGCCCGTCCGTGGGCGGCTGTACCTCTCGCCCTGCCCACACGCGCAGGCCCAGCGCGGTGCTTCCGGGACCATTCCGTGTCCCGGTTACGCGCGAGGTGGCAGTTCGGGGAAAGGGACCTCAAACTTGGGGACTGGACGAAATGGCCGGGAGTCACACCCACCGGAGCAACGGCCGGGCTGCGGCCCCCACGCGCGGGGCGCGCCCCAGCCACTCACCGAAGTACGGCTCATTGGAGCAGCCTTTCAACCGCACGCCCTTCGAGGTGCACTCGATCAGAAAGTGCCGAACCAGCTCGTTGGCCAAATCTCCAGCTGTGGTCAGAGAGTTAACAGGGAGAGAGAGTTTAAAACCTGAGGGTGAGGGAGACGGGAGACGGGAGAGGGGGCAGCAGTCAGAGCGAGGAGAGGCCGCCTGGCGACCGGGCGGCCCCGCTGAGCACGAGTCGGCGGATCTGCCCCGCGCAGACTCTGCAGGAACGAGGCCGGAGGCAGGCGCTGTCCTCGCTCCAGGAGGGGACAGCGCAGTGACAGCAGCCCGCCCTTCGCGTGCGACAAGAGGGAGGCGGTGGCCGGCACAGGGGACGGTCACCACGGGCCGGAGGGGGAGCGGCCCTGCTCCCAGCCCGGGCAGTGGAGGGCAGGGCAGTGGCGGTCGCGGCGGCAGAGACAGAACACGCGCACAAGCTTAACCTCCCAGGCCGAGGACCGTGCTCCGCGGGACGCGCCGGCAGAGCGAACCCCGAGGACTCCCCTGAGCGCTGCTCTGCACCGCCCGCCGTCCCCCGAGCAGACGCAGACCCGAGCGGCGGGGGGCGCGGCGGCCCCGCACCCACCTTTCTTGTTCAGCTGCAGGACGGAAGGCGGGGGAGTGGCCACCTTCATGGCCAGGCCGTAGGCGCCCCGGAAGGAGTGGCTGTCACGGACGACGAACGACCCCGGCTCCTTGTCCTTCAGCATCGCGATGGCTGGGGGCGGGGGGCGGGGGGCAGAGGGGCGTGAGGGCCTGCGGGCACACGCGTGGGCACACGCGTGCCCCCACGACGGCGCCCGAGAAAGCGCTTGCCCCCCTTCGCGAGCCAGGCCAGTGGTGACACTTGTCGCCAGGGCTTCCAGCCGCCCCTGGACCCCACTTTGGTGGAGCGCAAGCCCATCCCGGGGGCGGCGCAGGGAAGGCCGGTCCCCCGGGTCCTGCCCCAGAGGCTGGGCGCCTGGGAGCGAGGCCCCAGCTCCGTGCGCGTCGGGGAGCTTGGAGCCGGTGCTAGACCCCTTGCGTTGCAGCAAGTGAGCTGGGGAGCCCAGTGTGCCAAGGCCGTAGGGCTGGGCGTGTGCACATGGGCGGCAGGCCACCCCGTCCTGCTGAAGGGGGTGGGGACCGAGCCATCCCTGGCCACCCCTCCCTGTCACCTTTGGGACAGCGGGACAGGCAAAGTCCCCACAAGTACAGCAGGGAGAGCTGTGTCCGATTCCGCATTACTGAAGCCTGTTCCCTCAGAAACGCCCCGGGAGTTCCTGTCCCCACAGTCCCAGGGGACACGTTAAGCACCAAAACAGGCCCTGGGGTTTCTCCACTGCGTCTTCCCGAAGTTTCACTGTTGCTTTGATAGGAAAGGCACATCCTGGCAGTTGAGCCACAGCTAAGCCCATGCCCACACCCACGGGCAGCTCCCTGCCACGCGGTGGCACTGGCATGCCTGGGGGACAGCCGTCTGTGTTGGCGTCCTCCTCTCAAAGTGCCTGGCAAGCGACGCGTTCGGAGCCCCGCCGGAAAAGTCGCCGCGCAGGACACCGGGCCGCTGTCCTGAGACGAGCCGCCCCCACAGGAGCCTCGTGAGTGTGCGGCCGCGACGGGACGGACACCAGCAGGACTCTCCTGGCACCGGCCCGTCCACCCTCGGGCGCCAAGCCCGCGGCCACGCCCGCCACCGCCTGTGGGAGCCCCGGCGCCTTGGCCGAGAGCAGGGGGGCCGGAGACTGCTCGGGTGGAAGGTGGGGTGCACACGGAAGTGTCTAGAACGTGGCGCTTGACTAGCACGTGTCAGGGTCTGTGCTGCCGGGGCTCCGGCCCTGGCCGTGGGCATCCGCGTGCCCGAGGGGGGAGGGGTGGGCACGGAGCCCGGGCGCGCAGAGCTCACGCGGCCACAAAGGCCGATTCAGGGAGTGCGGAGTCTCAGGGCCTGGGCCACCCCCGTGCTGAACGACAACAGTGCCATTGAGCTCATGGGAGAGAGGCACATTCTTACCGTGTTGATCACCAGCCTAACTGAAGGGAAGGATCTCAACGAGGAGCTGGCAGAGCTGCCTGCAGCCCCTTGTTTCTGGGCGCAAGAGTTTCTGGGAAGCCCCGAGCACAAGACCACGGCACGGAGCACCCGGGGGCCCGGGGACCTCGGCGGCCGGTGCGCCTACCCTCGCCGAGCTAGGCTGCGACGCGCCCCCCCACCCAGCCGCCACCGGGAACCCCTAAGGAACATCGTCCCGGTGCCTCGGCCGCGTCTCCCAGGCTCCTGGCCCATCGCAGGCCGTCCCCGGGGGGCTCCTGGGAGGGACAGCCCCCCGCCCCCCCGCCGTGGCTGAGTCACAGACTCCCCAGGGACAGAGCCCCTGGGTCAGGCCAGCACACTGTGGGGGCCGCGAGGCCTGCTGGGGCAACGACTACTGTCCGTCCCGGAGAGGCCCCTTAGCGGACACTTCGTTTGCTCACGTTCCCATAAAACGGGACATGTGACTGAGCCGGTCAGAGCTACGGGCGGCCTCTCCCCAGGTGCCTGAGTCCGCGCCGGCCGCGGCGCCGTGTGTGCAGGGCGGTCTGCTCAGTCCACCCGCCGGCCTGTCCCCCAGCGCAGGGCGCGCGTGCGACACCGAGGGACACCCGCCCTTCCTCCCAACCCCCCGCCCCGGACGCAGGCGCTGGGGAGCGTCTCCTGTCACTGCCTGCTGCGTCACCGGCCTCGCTGGCCGGAGCAACACCCTGCAGGCTGGCGCGAGGCCGGCGGCGCCCGTGCCCGGGCGGCTCCCTCCCTGGGGCCGCGCTCCCGTCCGCGCCGGGTGCCACGCTCCCTCGCCGTCAGCCCCGCCTGCCGCACACCTTGCTCCCTGGAGATGTCCGCCTTGTACCAGAACTTGGAGGTGTCCTGCACGAAGCTCACCGACACGTGCTTGTCGCCCGGGTTATCTGCAAAGAGGATTCAGACGGTTGCCGCGAGCGCGTTGCTGATCACATGCTCCGGCCTCTCAGGGACACGGAGGTCGGAGCCCTGCCGGGGGCATGGGCGGGCTGCCTGCGGAGGGCGCTCTGTGACCGTGAGCTCCGCGCACGTGCCAGCTCCGCAGGGTTGAGGCAGGAGCACAGAGCGAAGCTGCGCCTGGTACTCGCGGTTCCAGGGTGTTCGTTTGCCACCAGGACAGGGTACAGGAGCTCACAGTTACGTTTCAAATGAACTCATCCAATTCAAAACCAAAGTTATTTGTGCAGGACGCTGGCTCCGAGCGAACGGAGAACCGCCCGAGTTTCGGCCGCTGGGGGAGTCCTGGGTGGGCGGACGCGGAGACTGACAGGCGGGGGCGGGGGCGGGGCGGGGGCGGGGCTGCGGCCGGGAGGCCGGAAACGCCCGAGGCGCCAGGTGTGTGTCCGAGGCGCCCTGCGCAGCAGTGGAGCTCCTGCTGGCTCCCCGGCCTCTGCCGAGTGCCCGAGGGGACAGAGGGGCCACCCCCCGGGACCCGCACGTACCCAGGGAAAGGGCGGCAGCCTCGGGAGGCTTGGAGAAGTCCGGGAGGACGTTCGGGAAGGGGATGCTCATGGTGCTCCCGCTGTGCGGGCTGGAGAAGCCGCTGGAGGACGGCGAGCCGGAGCCGAGGGAGCGGTCCCCCTCCGAGGCCCGCTTCTTCTCGGGGAGTGGGGGCTGCCCGGGCAGGGGCAGGCCGGGGCTGTGGGGGCTGCTGTGCCCAGGTGCCGCGGCCAGGAAGCCGTGGGGCAGGAAGCCGTTGTCGACGGCCGCGGCAGCTGCCCGCGGGCCGCCAGGGGGCGGGGGCGCTCCGTGCGGACTGGCCAGCGGAGCCCCGGGGTCCTCCGCAGGGGGCAGGCCGGCTCCCACGGCGCTTCCCACCGGGGCCGAGCCGAAGCCCAGGAAGGCCTGGCTGCTCGGGGGGCCCAGAGCTTCCGGGGGCTCCGCCAGCGACAGCGAGTGGCTGTGGAGACAGGCCTGCAGCTCGACGGGCGGGAGGTGCGGCCGCCCTGGGCCGGGGCCGTCCTTGCCGGGGCCCGGGAACTCGCTGGGGCTGAGGAGGAGGCTCCCCGGGGATCGGCTGCTTCCCAGCAGGGCCCGCGTGGGCTTGGGGCTGGGGTCCGCCCGTTGGTGCTCAGTCGGCGGGAGGCTGCTCAGGAGACAAGCCAGTCAGGGAAGACCTGGGACGGCACGTGAAGGAACGCAGCCCGGGGCCACGGGCGGACCCGGCTCCCAGGGTCCCCTCCTCAGCCACGGGCGGCCCCGCCTCCCAGGAACCACGGGCCACGGGCGGACCCGGCTCCCAGGGCCCGGGCCACAAACAGGCCCCTGCTGACCTGTCCCTCCTCGAGCTGGGGCTGCTGCTGGCGCTGGCACAGGAGGACGTGAATGCCCGTGGGAAGGACGGTGCCGGAGGCTTGGGTCCCACGGGGCTCTCTGACATCCCCACGGGCTGACCAAGGACCTCGGGGCAGCCGCGGGGGTCTGGCACGAGAGCAGAGGGACCTGGTCACTTTCCTGTCTGTGAGGAGTGGGGTCGCTTCCTGCTGCTGAAGCAGGTGTCCCGGTCACGCCAAGTGCAGGTCGCGCCCGCTGCGGGGCCCACAGTCAGGCCGCCCGATGTCGGCCCCGTGGGCAGCTTTCAGCCCGGACGGGGGGCTCCTCTCCGCAGGGTGCAAGCTGGGCGGGCCCTGCGGCCCCGGGAGGCGCCGTGTCGCTCCCCGAAGGCCAGTGCACGCGGAGTGGCTGACTTCCGTGTTGACGATCGGGATGCTTGTCACTTTGGCAGCCCCGGGTGCCAGCTGGGAGGGCACGCAGCCCCACCTGTCCCTGAGCTGGCCACGAGGCTCACACCTGAGGCCCCGGCTTCCTGGGCACACCTGCCACCTCCAGCACGGCCCGGCCCTCTGGTGTCCTCGACCGCGAGGCGACGACTGCCCTGCGTGGCCCCCTGTCTGGTGACGCCCAGCGCCCACGTTCCACGGAATCTCACACATTCTACCAACTAAGGCTCACCTAGCCTGTGGCCCAGCGACTGTACGATTTCTTAGTATTTTTACAAACTTGCTTTTTTTTTTTTTTTTTAAAGTAAGCTTTAAGAACTGGATAAATCTACCACAGCCAAGCAAATAACGTTGCGCGGTTGTTCTGCTACAAAACAAGGGCGACCGGTGGAAGACGCAGGATGTCAGAGAAGTTCCACGTCGCTCAGCGAGCTCGGCCCCGGCGGGCAGACAGCGCGGCGGTCCCGCCCCACCGCGGACCCACGCATTCCCCGGGGGGCCCGCGCGGTGCCAGCCACACACGAGCCCGCGGTCAGGGCCGTGGCCGTCCCACGGTTCTGAGGGGACCGACGCCGGGGCTGAGAGCCACCACGGCACCAGGGCTCCACGGGCCGAGGGGCCCGGGACAAGCTCGGGGCGGGGACGACCACAGGCCCCAGGAGCAGGGCCACCCTGGCAGGTCTAAGTCTGCGGAGAGGACGCCGCGTCCTCTCTGGGGACACACTGCTCCAGAGCCCGCCTCCACCTGCCCATCTGTCAGTCAGTCCACCTGTCACTCGCCTGTTCCCTCACACGGAGCCCGAGACACCCACCCAACGGGGCAAGCGCGCGTCCCCTCATCCCGCTGCCCGTCCCCGGAAACGGCAGGCGCAGGGTCCTCACGGTGGCCCCCTGTCTGCAGCTCCGTGCCGGACCCAGGGCTCACTGAGGCCGGTCCGGGCCCTGACCCAGGGACGGCGCTCAGCCTCTGCAGAAGCAGGTGCTCGAGGACCTGGGCCTGGAGACGTGGGCTTCCGGCCCCCCGTCCTGCCCGCCCGGCCCCCGGGTCCTCTGGGACGCACGCAGGCCACGTCCAGCCACCCGCCAAGCAGGCACGCGGCCCCACGGCGGACGGGCGTGCTCTCCGCTCTCGGAGAAGCAGGGCCTGGCCGCTGCCCCGGCTGCGGTGGAGAGAGAGCAAGAGCCAGGGCCCCCAGGGCAGAGAAGGACGGACGCCCCGCGCCGGGGGTCAGCCCCGCGGGCCGCGCCCCGCGCCGGGGCTCCTGTTTCCAGAGACATGCTCGCCTCCGGCAGGCAAAAGGGAGGGCGCTGCTTTCTGCACACTAAACCGGGGTGAGGTTTCTAGAAGGACGGCGGTCTGTGGCCCTGTGGCCTCGTGGCCTGTCCCAGGGGTCGGTCAGGCCTGCTGGACCCAGCAGGAGGCCCCGGGGCGATCGGAGCAGGTGCGGCTGCCAGGCTGCGGGGGGTCTTGCAGGGGACGTTCGCGGAAGCTGCCTCCCCCGTGAGCCCGGGCCAGGCCCGCGTATCGCCTCTCCGGACGCCCCCGCGGGCGCGCCGCGCCTTCCCCAAGCCCACGAGGGGCTTGGCGGCCCCTCACTGGGACGAGCATCCGCCATGCTGGGGGATGCGACCCGCGTCACGCTGGCGTATCCGAGCCCGACCTCGCCGGGGCCTCGGCAGACGCTTCTTTTAGGGCCCCGCCCCCTCGCGCCCCCGCGAGCTGCACGTCCCTCACACCCTCCGCTCCCGCTGCCGCCCGGGCAGGCTGGCGTGCGGGGCTCTGACCGCATCTCTTCCTGGTTTTCCCGGTGCCAGCTGGCGTCCTAGCCTGTGGGACGAGGGCGCCCTGTCCCTCCTGGCCGCTGGCTTCCCCTTCCTGCGCTTCCTGTGCCCAGAGCAAGGGTGAGGGCGGGTCACCGGCTGCCCCACAAGGGCTATTTTTATGCTCCCGATGGAGGCGGCCGCGGGGGCCGGATGACATCGGCTCCCACTGTCCACTGTTTACATCGCTGGACGTTAACAGGAAGAGCGGGGACCCGCGGGCTCCCTGCCCTTGGAGCCAGCTGTCCCCCGCCCCGAGGCCTGAGCCCCACGCTCGGAAGGGCGGCCCAACAGTGACCACGAGGTGGGGCCCCGACGTCGCCTTTATGCCGGGTGTGGCTCGGAGCCCGGGCGCAGGGTCCCAGCCGACGCGCAGGAGTCGGTACGTGACGTTGAACCCAAAAAGTCAGCGCTGCCCTGTCTTCCCAGTGACACAAAAAACCTTACGAAGATGTAAAAATTACTCATATATCCACTACTGTTGTTAGTTATAAATGACCATTAAACTTCCTACGTAACCTTTAACCGAAAGTGAGTTTGTCTGAGGTCGAGATGGTACTCGCCGACCCAGCTAAAGAAACTTGAATCGTGTTATTCACCTAAAGTCAGCCTCGACCTTTGACCCATGCGAGGGCCTGTCTTACTCCTCGTAAACCGGAAGGAGTGAGCCTGCCTCCCCCCACCCCCCGTCTGCGTCTCCACTCTGCCTCCTCCCCCGCACCCGCCGCCTCCCGGGCACCCCAGGACGGGCCGGGTCGGTGGAGGGCCCCCTCCCCCAGCCCTCGGGAGCTTCCTGCACAGCGGGACAGGAGCATGCTCTGCGCTCTTCCTTGCGCTGCATTTTAGGGGGTGAAGCGTGGGGGTCCGGGAGAGCCTCAACCATCCGATGCCTTAGTCCTGGGCCGCAAGACACACTCCCCCGGGGGTCCTAGGCACCTCCTGCTGCTGAACCCCCCAGGAGGCCCAGGCGAGGGGTCTGCAGGGCCTGCTTGGCGGGCACGTCTCCTTCCAAGTCTCCCTGCGTTGTGTGTCCTCTGCCCCCGCCTCCCTCCTCCCTCCCGCCTTCTCCCCCCCCACCCCGCCCCTGCCAAGAGCAGTTTCCCCGGCGATTCGCTCCGGCTCCTTTTTCCGTGTCTCTCGTCGCTGCTCCAGAGTCTTGCTTTACAGTTACCACGAGGTTCACACAAAACCTCCCGGAGATAACATACTCCCTCCCTTTCCTGCTGGCCGATTCTGAATTAAAAGCGTTATTTCTTAACACGTGAGATTTTATATAGGAAGCTCTGCAGCAGCTCTTTTGTTTTTTTTTAAGGGAGTCCTCCTGTCATAATCCTCCCGCTGACCTTCGACGAACAGCAAGCCGTTATTTAACCAGCCTTCTCGAAAGCCAGAGAGAGACGGGCCGGCGGCCAGGCAGCGTGAGAATCAATCAGTGAACCCCTTGAAAGCCCGGAGGAGCGAGCCCCGCGGCGCTTTCCTGATGCAAATCCAAGCCCCGCACTTCCGGCTGCTGGCACACACAGAGGAAGCGGTGGCCGCCCCCAGGGCACAGACACGCACTTTCTCAGCTGGAGTTCTTTCTTTTATGAACCCTTCTGTCAACACCAGATGAGTGACGAGTGACGAGTGAGTCACGGCGTTCCATGGAACACCAGGGAAGCCCTCTCTTCTCGCAGCCTCTCATGCCCAGGTGGGCCGGGCAAGCCCGACTGTTAAAAAAAGAAGTAGGCCCATTTCCCTTTCACCCAATAACAGGAAAGAACCAGAAACCGCTGCTAAAACAGCCGACGGCGGCCGGGACCCTGTGTGAAGCCATCCCGCTTCTCTGCGGAGGCCCGGCTCCCATGGGCTGGAAGCGCGGGCCCCCCCCATCGGCGGGCGCCACGCCAGGAGTCCGGGAGTGGGCGCAAGGCAGTCTCTTCCTCCACGGCAGCCGTCCCTGAGCCGTTCCCACACCCAGCTGTGCCGAGCAAACGCCCCGCACCCCGCGAGAGCCGGTGTTGCCCGCGCAGCTGGCTGGGAGCTCCTGGGAAGGCGCACTCCCTTCCTGCTGGACGGGACGGGGCGGGGGGCACGTTGGGGCTGGAGGTCCCAAGGACGCCCAGAGCACCCAGGTCCGAGGACGGGTTGGCATGCGGCTCTGGGGCACGGGGGGTGGGGAGCGGCCTCGTGACACCAAATCCGAGTCCAGAACCTGCCTCTGCGCTCACTCAAATGTCCTTCCCTCTCTCAATCGCGGGAAACACACACACACAACATCAACCTGACCATCCTGACCATTTCAGGCGCACGGCTCAGCGGCACCGAGCCCACCCCCCGGCCGTGCGGCCATCGCCGCGTCCCTCCGCCGAGCTTGCGCTCCTGTCCACACGGGGGCTCCCTGTGCCGCGCCCCCGTCAGCGTTGCAGGCTGGAGGCTCACGGCGTGGGCCCAGAGACTCACAACACGCCTCTCAAAAAAGGCAAGCTCCCGTCCTGAACTACCAACAGGCCACTAAGCACACTGCCCGTGGGGTCCCTGGCCGGGGCGGGCGTGTCGCAGCTGGCACGGCCCGGGGAGCGAAGGCTCCGGGGTCCCCGCGGCGCAGGAGCAGGGTGCCAACCCCGCCCGGCCCGCCCGACGTCGGGGCCAGCAAAACCTCGGTCCCTCTCGGGCCGCGCCCAGCCCCGGGCAGGATGCCGGGCCCCAGGACCGGGGGCGCAGGCTGGCGCGGCTGCCGTAGAAAGCCCGGGCGGGGCTCAGACGACGGGACCGCCCCCGGGCCGCCGGCAGGCTGGCCGCCCGAGGGCCCGGTGCGGCGGGGCGGGCCTTCCACTGAGTCCGTGTCCCAGCCGCCTCCTTTCACAAGGACAGCGGCCCGGTCGGTCTGGGGCCCAGCCA